ATATTTAGATAATATATTATTTATGTAATATATTCTCTTGCTGATGCTGCAGCATAGACACACATTCTAAAACATCCTGATAATGGATATTAGGAAATGTCTTGGGTCACCTTATGTGGTTAGAAGTTTTATTGAAATATTTCGTATCTACTTGATCTCCCAGTGCTGTGAAATTGTATTATACTTTGCTCTGCACCTAACATTAATTGAATGTGTTGTTTTCAAGGACAGATATCTTTTTTGTAAGTTTTGTCCTAAATGTAGGCCTCTTTAAATTTAAGCTTTTTATGACTGTAGATAAATTAGGAATTTACATTCTATCCTAGAATGTGATGGTACTTATTAATATTCTTCTCAAAATGCCTGATATTTAGGGAATTGCATATATACTTGAGATTATTTTTTATTAATACTTTGTGCTCTTCGATATTCATGTTTTTTACAAAATAAAATTTTGTTTTTCACTGTACAACACTTTCTAAAGAGTTTATGGGAAGCATGGATGATGTCTTTAAGTCTCAAATACATACTGTTTTATTCACTGTAGTGTCCATATATGTCCTGTGTATATATACATATGGGATTATTACTATACAAAAACATTCTATATTTTAGATTCCTCCATTCCCCAGTAGATTTTAATAAGTGAGTTCTCCTGACTACTGTACTGGATAAAGACAAATGTAAATTAAAAGAGAATGTAGCTGGAGGGTGAGCCTACATAATTAGGCTGAGAGAAAAGTAACATCAGAGTTAATGCAGAATGTCAGAAGGATGGAAGAGAGCCATAGGATCGAGTGGAAGGGGAGATGATTTGCACTGCAGTGATTAAGGAAGATATGAGGGAGATTGAAAGATGGCTCTGGTTGGGAAGGTGACGATGAAAAGCATGTGGACTTAAAAGGAAAAGAACAAGTTTGTCACATGACAGTTTTATTCTCAATGTCATTTAACATTGTAGGAGCCAGGGAATGTTTATTGTTCATTCATTTATTATCCATACAATTAATATTTTTAGTTCTAAACAAGCACTTTTTTCACCTTTCACCTTTTTAAGAAGTTTGGACTATGGAATTTTGCAGTTCATGAAATACAGACTCCTCACTTAACATAAAAGGTAGACTTTGAGTTACATTTACAGTTGGATCTTTTTTTTTTCTTATTGAAATGGACTATAATTTTATTTCAGCTTTTTGAAGATATTTTTATAAACTTTGTTTCTATGACTGTAATTTTGGTGTAGAACAGGGTGGAAACATTATATTCATTAAATGAAAAATATAAAGACATTTCAGAGAATTGTTGATTTTAATTTTTTAGGTGATAATATTTAATGGACCAGCTTACAGTTAGTGTCAGAAACAATAGGGTAATAAATGAGGGCAAAATTAATGCTGTTGGTGATAGCTACAGAAAGAGCTGCAATCCATGGAAACTTGTAAAATTACTCTTCCCTGGAAAAGTTGATTAGTTAGAAATTAAATATTAAATGTGGTCAGACTTTGCACAAAGTATACAGACCTAATCCATTCTTTTTTCCAATATGTCTTACCAGCTATAGGGAAAAAATCCAATCATGGCTCTCAATACTCCAGGGATGGGATCCTACTTTCCAACCATATCTGAAAAGTGAAGGGTCACCCAGTAGCAGCAGGTAATTGGCTGCCATGTACGTGTCCTCTATTCTTGGGTAATAGGAGAAAAAGTGGTCAAATAATTTTATTCTATCTTCCCCACTTTTCTCAATTCTTCCCAAATGAATACCAAAAAGAATTAGTTTCCATTTCGAATGTTTGATTCCTTTACACACCACCCTGTGCTGCCCTTATTCTGCTTTCATGAGTAAAAATCCAAATTCATGTTCTTTAGATAATTTTGCTTTAGAAGATACCCAAATTACTGATTCCCACCCCCCGCCCCTGCCCAATTGGTAAGCCTTCAGAAGAGCTAGGGAAGTCAAGGCCAAATTATAAAGCATGAATGTCATTTTCTCAGAGGGCTTTTTTGTACATAATAGCTCCTTCAATTTTTATGCTGGAAGTTTTAGACACTCATTTTTGACTGGCATGTCTATAATTTACTTTTCAATAGGATGGATTTTTAATGTTGTGTACTACTTATTTGAATATTTTACTTCACAGAGTAACCTTGTAGCTCATACAAATATTTAGAGAATGAGAATTTAATAATATTCTTACGACACAGACAATGATTGCTTTCATGTATGTTTCGAAAGTGTGGTTTAAGATCTTGCTTTTTTTTTTTTTTTTGGCTGCCATAGTTATGGTGTCTTATCACAGGATTATAATAATTATTTTGTTCAAGTCTGGTATATAATTTCTTTATTAATTGTACTGTCTTTTCTATTCCTGCACTTCAACATTTTAAAAATTGTATCAGCGTTTGTACTATGTAGAACTTTTACTGAATTTCTTCATTATTTTTGGATAAGAAGACTGGTATCAGAAATTAAGTCACTTGCCTGAGGACCCAGCAGTTGGGAGGAGCAGATTCATAGGGAATGATACTTAAGATTTCCATGGTTTTAGTAGCAATGTTTATACCTGGACTGTGTAACCCAGAGGCCAAGAGACTGGGCTTGTGGTGTGCCTGGCTTCATATGCTTGCAGTGCTGCCTGCTCCTAATGGCCACAGAAGCCATCGGTTAAATGAACCAGTTGTTCAGTGAGAGCAAGAAAAGGAGTGTTTGCACAAACCACCTTTAAAATTTCTGATCCTTGGTGAAAGTCGGTGGGTTTGTGAATTATTAACAGGAGTGTACATGAGGAAATACTGGCTGTTTAAATGTTATATGTAGTTTTTATATAAGGAAAGAAATGAAAGCTGACTAGACCCTCAGCTGCTACCTTTTTCGGCTGTGGGCCTGCTCTCAGCAGAGGCAGGAGGCTGGCCACTGGCAGACCACACGGGCACATGGGCACACAGGCATCATGTCAGCTCATCACTCGCAGTCACATTTTGCTTAGAAGGCAGTGGAAGTGTTTTGCAGCCTGTTGGGAGGTATAAAGGTGAAGGTATAAGTTCCTTACCAGTGCCCAGAGTCCTGGACAGGGACATGGGAGGGCTGCCCATCTGCTGGGGAAGGTTGTGTCATCAGAAGAGTAGTGTAGCAAGTCGGTGAGAGCTAGCCTGAGAAATCTGTCCTGTCACTTGCCCTGGGCTTGCAGGTCCTTCTTTAATTTGTCACTACACAGAGAGCCATCCACTATGGCTTTGATTTACACAGAAGGGTGTCCCCTTGGTGGAAACCAGGAAAGCTCATTGACAGAGCTCCAGCTTAGCACCCCGTTGAAGACTTTGAGTCCTGGGGAGAGACTTGGGAAAAATCCATCTGTGAACCTGGTTTCCACTATGCACAGATATTTCCAGAGTCCCCAGAGCCTCATACAGTTGATATATATTTAATTTGTGCTTATTAGTTATACATGACAGTAGAGTGCATTTTGACATCATACATACATGGAGTCTAACTTCCCATTCTTGTGGTTGGACATGATGTGGAGTTTCCCTGGTCGTGTGTTCACATAGGAACACAGGAAAGTTCTGTCCCATTCATTCCACTGTCTTTCCTGTTCCCATCCCTCTCCCTTCCCTTTATTCTCCTTTGTCTCATCCAAAGTACTTCTATTCTTCTTTACCTGCCCCCCTTATTGTGAGTCAGCATCCACCTATCAGAGAGGACATTCGGCCTTTGATTTTTGGAGGATTGGCTTATTTCACTTAGCATCATAGTCTCCAGTTCCATCCATTTGGAACTTTACCGACAGATTCCCTAATTTTGTTTTTCTTTATGGCTGAGTAATATTCCACTGTGTATATGTACTACATTTTCTTTATCCATTTATCTGTTGAAGGGCACCTAGGTTGGTTCTATAGTTTAGCTATTGTGAATTGAGTTAACAGTTGAGATTAATGGGCTAATGATTTCATCTGACATTTACCTGGAAAGACGAATTGCGACTCACCTTTACTGGGAGTGGTACTAGTGGTGGTGTGTGTGGCGGGGGGCAGAAAATGGGAGGCTAAAGGGGAAGGGGGGAAGGAGGAAGATGTTGAGGAAGGTTGGAGCTGAGCATAAAGAAGGCTTCTTTATAGCTTCTTCCATGCTGGCTGGAGTTGCCTGCTGGGTGAGGAAGTGACACTCAGAAATGCCTGGGTTCAGTTTCTTTCCTGCGGGGTCTAAGCCTTGCTCATTTCCAGTGCATGAGCCATGCCTTACCTGGGAAGGGAGAGAGCAGGTGCCTCGTCTCCTTTCCCTGCCTCTTGATTGTCCTCAGGTGCAGTGCCACTTGATATTGGCTGTTCTGCAATACTTGGAGAGCATTATTCTCAAACTGCCAGGATTACAGCCAACATAGACCACGGGCCCTGCAGCCAACCAGCCAGCCTCTACAGCAGTGGCAGAGAGGAAACTCAAGCTGTAAATAAATCTCTGTTTGGGGGCTTTGTAGTGGCAAATGATGTGAATGAGTGGATTGTAAAGGGTGCCTGGTTTTATATGGCCGTGAATACCCAGGCCATAGATAAATATTGACACCAATGGTGGGACAGGCCTACCATTTGTCTCCTGCCCCTAGGAAGAAAAGCTCTTTTCTCAGGTGCTCGTGACCTTATAAACCACCCTGACAAGTCAGTGCAGGTGCGCTCTGTGCTGCCACTTGGGATTTGAGAGTGGATGGTTTTCATCTTGGGCTTGTGCAAGCTTTAGCCTAACCATATCTAAACTTGCTTTGGCTTATTGATCCCAGTTGTGTTTGTTGCAAGTAAATGTTTCCAGCACAGTTTTGCCAAGTCATGCTTTTGTGACCACACAGACTGATCTGGGGTGGGAGCTCTGAGTGGGGGGGGGGGACTTCAGAGTGGGAGGCCAGTCCTGGAGACTTGGCTGAAATAAGGGTCGAATCTGATATCTGGATGCTCTTCTGAGCCAACTGGGCCTGCATCCTGAACCATGCTTTCATCTCCTATATTTTGGGGGCATGGAACAGAACCAGCCTACAATGGAAGAGGGTGCTGGATTTGCTCCTGTGAAGTATGCAGCAGCAATCGGTACTTACCCCAAGGCTGTTGTTCTTGTGGGAGCAAAGTTGTGTAAGAGTTCCTTGATACAGGACAAGATGAGCAGGGGCTTTGACAAACTCAGACTTAATTTTGTCTTCTTGCAAAGGTGATGGCTAGAACTGGAGACTGTGTTCATTGAATAGAAAGCTGTGAGCAGAGACTTCCCAGTGTTCTCAGGGCAGCTGCTGCAATGGATGTCTGGGCTTGGTGTGAACCATGGGGTTTGATTTCCTGCTCAGACGTGAAGAAGCCCTGTGAACTGAGTCAGCACAGTGAGGATAGAGTATCTACAGATCCACAGGGTAAGGGTGTGTTTTTTACGTTTCTGTAAGTGGGACTGTCTTTTGGTAAGGTGGTTTGTTAAAAAAAAAAAAAAAAATAGGACTCACATTCAGTAGGTACAGTAATAATTATTGGCTGAGGTACAGTTTAGGAAGTAGAATTTACTGCTAAGATCCACTTTTTTTGGTACCAGGTTGAACTCAGGGGTACTTGACCACTGAGCCCCATCCCCGACCCCATTTTATATTTTATTTAGAGCCAGGGTCTCACTGAGTTGCTTAGCATCTCACAGTTGCTGAGGCTGGCTTTGAACTTGTGACCCTCCTGCCTCAGCCTCCCGAGTGGCTGGGATGACATGTGTGCGCCACCATGCCCACCTGACAGGATCCACTCTTAAGACAAATGCCTTGGGAGTAAATGACCTGGAACTGCACACGAATGTTGTTGAGTGTAGATACAGAACATATGGAAGAGGTGAGGCATCTTTTTAGAGGCCTTGGTGAATGAATGAGTCAAAACAAACAGAACTCCAAAGAAAACCACAGCCAGGTTTCCAATTGACATAAAGCTTGACTGTATTTAAGGATGGAGGTCGCACAGAATATCTGCTTTATCCCTGTCATTTCATGGCATGTGAAGTTTCTTTTCGGGGGCAGGTATTGAACCCGGGGCACTCAACCACTGAGCCCCATCCCCAGCCATTTTTTTTGTATTTTATTTAGAGACAGGGTCTCAGTGAGTTGCTTACAGCCTCGCTAAGTTGATGAGGGTGGCTTTGAACTCATGATCCTCCTGCCTCAGCCTCCTGAGCTGCTGGGATGACAGGTGTGCTGAAGTTCATATTTTAATCAGAAACCAGTCTGTAAAATAGTGCCTGCTGAAATGCCTTGTTGTCAAACCCGATTTCATATCTTCTTAGCATTTCAACACCCAGCAGTTGAGGTCTTCCCACTGCCCCACCGTGGTGGGGAAAATCGTTTTTCAAGTTGAGAGTGTTTGGTTATGTCATAGTGTTATAGAAAGAAACACTTTTGCCTTTTGGCTCCAGCTGAGCATTTCATAGCACATATAAACCTTAAAAAGCCCCACGGAAAAATGGGCAGCATGAGATCCCACTTTGATAACCCAGCCACTAAAGTCTGTGACTCACTGGGCAGCTGACCTTGCAGACCTCTGCATCTTCTTTTTATTTTTTTTTTTTATTTTTTTGGTTCTGAGGATTGAATCCAGGGCTTTGTGAATGTGAGGCAAGCACTCTACCAACTGAGCCATATTCCCAGCCCTTCATCTTCTTTAAAATACTTAGCCAGAGATACTCGTGCAGCTCTTGAAATGTTGTGGGTAGATTCTGTTTTCTCATTTGGTTGGTTGAGAACTTTCAGTATTAATTATTGGTACAGTATTAATTATTGTAGGTACAGTATTAATTATTGGCTGAGATACAGTTTAGGCAGTAGAATTTACTGCTAAGATCCACTTTTTTTTGGTGGGGGGGTACCAGGGATTGAACCCAGGGGCACTCAACCCCTGAGCCATATCCCCAGCCCTATTTTATGTTTTATTTAGAGACAAAGTCTCACTGAGTTGCTGAAGGTCACTTGAATCTCTGGATTTGAGTGGCCTTCATTTTTTGGTTGTGGGAGAGTCCAGAAAAGGGAGACAGGTTAAGCTTAGAAAATGTTTGAAGGAACCTTGCGCTTCATCCAGGGCAGGACAGCGTGAGTTTTATATTTGCTTTATAGATTCTAGACGCTCAGGCTTCACACAGGCATGAAGAGAGGTCACGGAGATGTTGTGGGGGTGATTTCCATTTAAAGATAAAGGACCTGGGCAAGTAATGGAAGTGATGGGGCCACCTGTGGGCCTGTGGGCTTTCTTCTCCAGGGGATTCCTTATGAATGGCTTCACTCTTTTGTCCTTTAATTTTTTTTGTAATTTGGTATAGAGGTGGGGGAGGAAGGAGAGTCCAGTAACATTAAGGTAAGCTGTTGTTTGTACAAATGTATTTGCTTAAGACAATCCACTTTCATTTCCTTCTTTGTCTGCTTGAGGGAGGGAGACAGGCCACTTATGATACATTGGTCCCTTTGTAATCCAGAAGTAGATCTGGCTAGAATCCCCACCTAACTACTTACTTTACTAACAAGAACAAAAGCTTCTGATCACTGGTGTGTCCAGAATCGAGTCACCACCAAGTTTTATTTTTTTTTAATCTTTTGGCACACATTTCTGTAATAGGAGGGTTTTACACTGATATTTCCTCTGATTGGATTATGTTGGTGAATTTGTCAGAATGGAGGTTAAGTGAAAAAGGCACAAAATGCCTTGACTGTTTCCTGATTCCTGGAAACTCCTGGGTGACAGTGACTTTTAAGGATTCAGAGGGAGAGAGTGGTTTTTTTAAAAATTTGTTTGGACCTTTTTATCTCCGTCTTTGGCACCCAGAGGAGGAGTATTACATGGTTAGGGGTTCAATTCCTGAAGAGTCCAGTTAGTGGCATCGGATTTTCTTATCCTTTTATCTCAGGGAAATCCTGGGGTATACCTTCTGCCAGAAAGACAGGCTTGGCATTTGCCATCTTGTTCCTGTGGCCAGGAGTACTTTTATGAGGCTATGTTAAAATAGTTATTTTCCTCCCTGTGCCCCAGGTGTGGGCCCAGAGTGTGGGAAATCCTGAGTGTTACAAACAGACTTGTGCTAGTGGTGGAGAAGGAACTCAATCACAGGATCTCCTAGGGGGTGATTGTGTCAGAATGTATGCAGTTCTGAAGCATGGTACCAGGAAGTCTTCCCAAAGGTTACTGGTTTGCATTTTTTTGCCCTAATTAGCTATACATGACAGTAGAATGCATTTTGACACATCCTACATAAATGGAGTATAACTTCTCATTCTTCTGGTTGTACATGATGTAGAATCACACTGATTGTTAATCATATATGCACATAGGGTAATAATGTCTGATTCATTCCACTGCCCTTCTCACCTCCTTATCCCATCCCTTCTCTTCACTCCCCTCTGCCTAATCCAGAGTACCTCTGTTCTTTCTTAGCCCTAATCCCTTCATTGTGAATTAGCATCCATATACCAGAGAAAACATTTGACCTTTGTTTTTTGGGGGGATTGGCTTCTTTCACTTACCATGAGAGTCTCCAGTTCCATCCATTTACCTGCAAATGCCATAATCTCATTTTTCTTTAAGGCTGAGTAATATTCCATTGTTTATATGTACCACATTTTCTTTATCCATTCATCTTTTGAAGTGCACTTAGGTTGATTCCATAGCTCACCTGTTGTGAATTGAGCTGCTATAAGCATTGATGTGGCCGTGTCACTGAAGTATGCTGATTTAAAGTCCTTTGGGTATAAACGAAGGAGTGGGATAACTGGGTCAAAAGGTGGTTTTATTCCAAGTTTTCTGAGGAATCTTCATACTGATTTCCATAATGCTTGCACCAGTTTGCAGTCTCACCAGCAATGTACCTTTTCTCCCACATCCTTGCCAACAATTATTGTTGCTTGTATTCTGGATAATTGGTCTGCATCCTTTCTGGATGCACCCCAAATGAATTAATTTTAAAGCTGCAACGTGTCTTTAACAGATAGACCAAATCTTACTCTGGTGGTTGTGAAGGTAGGTGGACTCCTGAAAGTGCACATTTATAGGGGCAGAGGGTACAGGTGGAGGTGTTAAGAAAGAAGAACCATAATATGTAAGCAGAAGCACTTGGAGAACCTCAGATTCCAAATTTATCTACTTGAGCGAAGCATCTTTTTCCTCAGCCTTATCTATCTCTCGCTTCCTGTCCACTTTGAGTTGTTTTCACTACTTCAGAGGCAAAAGTCTCCACTGCCTGCCTCCTGAGCATGGTTTTCATTTAGGAGACTCCTCCATCCCTCAGCTGGGAGGACCTCCAGCTTCTGAGCCAGAGCTGAGCACCTTGTGCTCCCGGGATCAGAATGGCTCCCCTCTGGTGCCATGGGTGCCGCCTCTCGGGCCTGCATGGCCTCCTTGGGGACAGGGAGGCATGGCCATCCTAAGTTCTGCTGGACAAGGTCCAGGATGGGGAAACTGTGGTGTGAGTGGTAGATTTGCAAAGTCCTGTAGAGCTTAAAGACTCTGAAAGGGTAGCTTTGGGATTCCTTTATGGAGCCTGTAGAACAGGGAGGCAGTCCTGAGCATCAGGACTCACTTCTGGCCCTCTGCTCTCCTTTGCTGTTTCTACTGAACCTCCCTATAATGGCAAACCCAAATGGCAGCTTTATGTGCATCTTTACTGCTGATGATCCCAGGGACGTTCCCTGGGAGGGTCAGGCCCTGGGAGGGTCAGGTCATGGCAGGTAGCTAGCTCTTCCCTGCCCAAAGGCCGTTTGCTTGTTTAGTATTCACCAGCTGCAGGGCCAGTGTGCCAGGGTGCCTCTTCTTAATTAAATTAATTAATTTTTAGGGGCCGATGATGCACGGACCATGCAAATGAGTGACAGTTAGGGAGATTTGTAGGCTCCCCCGCATGCCCCCAGGACCAGCCTCCACCAAGCCCTCCTAAATAACAGAATCCATGATACACTTAATGGCTTCATGGACCAGACTACAATTTTGGTAGGAAAACCAGATCCTAGACGCTCCTGTTTTAAGGTATGATCCACTGCCTTTGGTGATGGGAAGAAAAATGGTCTGGGCCTCTTGATTATTTAGTTTGGAGGTTTTAGGTAGATGTACAAGGAGATACTCTGTTGCTATGGAAGTCAACTTTAATGGCCCTATAGATGAACACTAATGAGGGACTTGGCCCTGGGATTGGTGGGGGTTCATAGCACCCTTGGATCACCTGCCGCTTGGGCTGAGGGTCTGGGGGCATGAGCTCCTCTTCTCTCTTGGCTCTAACGCTGGTGGTGTGTCTTGCTCTTCCCTCTCTAGGGGGTCCTGGTTTCTTCGCCGTTTTATTTGTTAGTTTTACTTCCTAGGCTCCGTGCCTTGCTTTACCCTTCCCCGCTCTCTTCTGGAGAGAACAGTGCTGTTT